GTGTCTTTATCTGGTTTTGGCATCAGAAGGGTGAATGCTTTTTATTTTATGCCAAATAGTGAAAACTTTTTTTGAAGCTCTACATAATATATTTCTTCAGAGAGGATTTATGTTTTCCTCTTTTAGTAGAGGAAGATGATGATCTTGACCCAAATTCTAAATTGAATTGAGGTTGTGAGGCAGTTTGACCATGTTCTGTTAAGACTCCAATTCATACCTACTCTGACCATATGGATCTCCCAGGATTCTAACTGGAGCCCATATGTTCACAAGGGAACCTCTCCATAATAGTAAATAACTTTGAATCTTTGATTTCTCAGTACTAGAAGCCTACAAAAAAACTCAGCTCTGCTATTGAAGACTTCCCAGTGAGCTTATTAGCCTACTGCCATAGGTATCATTATTCAGTAAATTGTCTTAATAGGGAAGCCAGCTATAGTCAGTTTTTTATTCTTCTCTTCCTGGGATTTTTGTCCCTTGAGTCTCCAATTTTGCCTCCTTAGCTATACAAGAGTCCTAAAGCTCTGCTGATTTATCTCTCTGTGAAAAGCATGGCTCAACCTGATCAAAGACCAGATTATTTTCAACTTATTTCCTTATGCATAGATTCTGTGAATACCTCTGGAAAAAGAGAAGCTGTACAATATCAGCTCATGTCTAAATGTTCCTACTTCCTCAGAATATTGGCACATTTATTTCTATTTGTTTCAGCAGTAGACTTTACAAAAATATTTTTTAATCCATTGTTCCTAGCTCTTGGTGGGACCATTTTTCTTCAAACTATTTCCTTATGCCATGACTTCATTTATTTAATGTATATATCACTAGGGATTATAGGCTATGGTACAGGTACTGTTCTGCATACTGGGAATATAGTGATAATTTAAGATCCTACACTGACAGATTCTAGTGTAAGTAATTAGACAAATAAAATATATACTAATAAGTATGTACATTGTTAGGTGGTGATAATTCCTATGATGTAATAAGATACAGGGATAGAAAGTGATGATGCCATTTTATATGGGATGTTCAGAGAAGGTCTATCTGGTAAGGAGCCATTTCTGATGGTGACTTATATGAAGGTCACAGTGAGACATGTGTATGTCTGGACAGTGTGTTACTGACAGGAAATAGTTCCTGCAAAGCTAAAGAATTTTATTGCCTGGTGATTTTGAGGAACATATATGCTTGTAGCAAAGGGAGCAAGGTGAGGATTGGTGAGATGAAAGAAGTAGCAGTTGGCACATTGAAACCAATTATTCCAGGGCTTCCATTTATAGATTACATTCCATTTAACAGAAATAGAAACCTATTCAGGGATTGGTAGGAGAGACTATTTTAAAAGATTAATCTGGCTTTTTCTTATATTTAAAAAGATTAGTTGGTGATTTGTTCCACATAGTACAAGTGAGACAAGTTGAACCTTTTATAATCTTTCAGTGAGATAGGTCAGTGGTCTGAGCAATATCTAAACTGTATCTAAAGCAGAGTTGAGAAGTGTGGACTTCTGAGCTAGACTGCCTGCATTCAAATGCCAACTTTGCTTATCATTACCTGAATAATCTGGTTAATCTGTCCATACCTAAGTCCTGGAAAGGGCAGAAGAGGGTGGAATGGAAAGGATGAGGAACAGGTAAAGAGATTTAGATATAGTGTATTTGAGATGACAGCTGGACACTCAAGTAGAAATGTAAATTACATTTAGAAGCTCAGTGGGTAGGTCTGGGCTGGAACTAAATGTATGGGATAGACAGAAAATGTACTATATTTGAAGCTATGAGATTAGATGAGTTCCTCTAGTTCATCTATATAGAGATGGGGATCCAAGACTGACTAGTGAAGAAAACTAAATGATAGAAATATCCTGGAGACCAATGCTAGAATGTATTTCACAAAGGTGGGATGACCAACTGTGTGAAATGCTATAGATGGTGAGAAGTCAGGTACAATGACTGAAATGACTGGAGGGTGACCATTTGAATTAGCAATGAGGTTGTTCTGACCTTAACAGGAGCAGTTACGGTAAATAGCAGGAAACAGAAGACTGAATGAAGAGGGTACAAAGAGAAAATGCGAGGGGATAAAAAAGGTGGCAAGTGAGACAGTTTGCTGGAGGGGAAGATGAGATACCTTCCAATGAGATACAGATGTCGCTTTTATTTGATGAGGGTTACTGTTGATCCAGTCTCAGGCAGTAGGATTATGGCTTGGCTTATCTGTGTTGGTTGAAATGACTTTATGTCTGTGCCTAGCCTAGTGAATACTGTTATTGAACTCAAGATCTCTTTTGAGTTGTTCATTGAAAGAATTCACAGTATTCTCTCAAACATCGTGAAGGGTCAGCATCTTTCCTGATGGGAGTGTTCTTGATGTTATAGAAGTTGAATCTTTTTTTGAAAAAATTTTTAATGTTTTATTTATTTCTGAGATGGAGAGAGAGAGAGAGAGAGAGACAGCATGAGCAGGGGAGGGTCAGAGAGAGGGAGACACAGAATCTGAAGTAGGCTCCAGGCTCTGAGCTAACCAGCAGCACAGAGCCTGATGTGGGGCTCGAACTCACAAACCGTGAGATCCTGACCCGAGCTGAAGTCGGATGCTTAACCGACTGAGCCACCCAGGTGCCCCTAGAATTTGAATCTTTATAAGCAGACCCAAACTATAATTTTTCTGGGCAAATTTTCAATGGTTTATGGTGTATTATTTCAGCATTTAAGTTACCTAGCTAGCTGACTTCTAAGCAGTTACATCTCTACACGGTCTTTCACCTTCCATTAATCACCATGATAGCTGTAATATTACATTCTATTGATTACACTGATGCCATATTACAAAGATATTCTGAAATTTTGGGGAACAGGAGTATAAGAACCAATAATCCTGTTAAAGTATTCTGTTTATCTGATATCTTTATTAACATAAACGTGTGCTAGGACTTGTGCTAACAAAATACCACAGACTGGGTAGCTTAAAGAATAGGACTTTTTCTTATAGTGCTGGAGGCTAGAAGTCTAAGACCAAGATTTTAAAAAGTTTGGTTTTGTCTGAGGCCTCTCTCCTTGGCTTGCAGAGGCCAGCTTCTTGCTGTCTTCACCTGGTCTTTCTTCTGTGCACACACATCCCCTGGTGCTTCTTCATGCATCCATATTTCCTTTTTTTAAGGACACCAGTCAGATTTGATCAGGGCCTGTACTAATAATCACCTCTTTAAAGGCCTCATCTCTGAATATTCCACATTCTGGAGTACTGGGATTAGGTATTCAATATACGGAGTTTGGAGGAACACAATTCAGCCCACAACCTGTGGTCATGTGTTGTATTAATGCATACTTAAAATTTTTTTATAGTTTTTATTTTATTTTTGAGACAGAGAGAGACAGAGCATGAGCAGGGGAGAAGCAGAGAGAGAAGACACAGAATACGAAACAGGCACCAGGCTCTGAGCTGCCAGCACAGAACCCGATACGGGGCTCGAACCCACAAACTACAAGATCATGACCTGAACCAAAGTCAGACACTTAACTGACTGAGCCACCCAGGTGCCCCTAATGCATACTTTAAAAGAGAAGGAAGACAAACACTGATATAGGTAATTTGAAAACCAGTAGGAAGCCTCAGGACTTGAACCAAATGAGAGCTAGAAAAATTAATACATTAATAAGCAATATTTATTAAATCTCTATGCAATAGATGTGTGTATATGTATATACACAAACATATATAAATATATATATATAAAATTAGTAATCATAAAATGCCTACAAGATAGGTATTATTCCCAGTTCTCAGATAAGGACATTTAAATTCTGAACACAAATCCCATAATTCATAAAGTTCTTAAATCTATAGAGTTATCTGAATTACTAAGTTTACATTCAACATATGATAACCATAGCAGAGCGGATAGGAATATACAATATAACTTAGAACATTTGCAATAAAAATAACTGAGATATGAAACAGATGAACGTTACCTGTAATATTCACTTCTGTGCTTTGCATTTCTAAATGATTATAGATAAACATGGTTGTACACAAGACAGAAAATTGTTCATATTATAAACTTAATTCTTCTTTTGATGTTTATTTTTGTGAGAGTGAAACAGAGTGCGAGTGGGGGTGGGGGCAGAGAGAGAGGGAGATCTAGAATCTGAAGCAGGCTCCAGGCTCTGAACTGTCAGCACAGAACCCGATGTGGGTCATGGACCATGAGTTCATGACCTGAGCTGAAGTCACACACTTGAACCGACTGAGCCACCTAGTTGCCTGTAATTCTATCTTTTGATGAGTGAATAATTATGAAAGTCTTGATGCAAATGTTTTTAAGATAAAAGTTTTTTCTTCTTTAAATGTAATCTCTACACACAATGTGGAGATCAAACTTCACAACCCTAAGATCAAGAGTGGTATATGCTCTACCGACAAGAGCCAGCCAGGGCGCCCCATAAGATGGTAAAAGTTTAAACATCTTTTCCCCAGAGGAAGTATCAAAAGTTTGAGCATACATGAAAATATTTGGATAGTACAGTCTCTTCAAATAAGTTTGATGCATTTTTAAAAATATCTCCTTTTGTGACATACAGTTATGTGTATTCTAGATTATACACTGTCCCCTGAACAATGCAAATCAGCAGCCATTACAGTTATGTACACAAGTCAGACTTTGCTTCAATTACTTTTGCTTAGTTTTGAATTCTCAATGCCATTTTGGTAAATCATCAGGTAATGATTTGTTTAGAGGTCAAATATTTAAAAGACATGCCTTGTAATTAACTTTAAGGCTATAGAAATGAAAGAGGACCATCAATGTGTATGTGTCACATCTGTGGATATTAATCATTTACAGTAATAGATCAGTATTCATAATGACATGTTTGGAAAAAATGACAGGTTGTTTGAAGTATATAATAAATTCAAATGTTTAATCATCTTACCTTTTCTCCTTTTTAGATTTATTTCTAAGTAACCTTTAACTTCGGAAAATAACAATCACATTCCAGTAGACTTGTAAAACAATTTAATTTTTATTCAAAATATGAGACATCATCATTAGCCCTTATCTTACTCTTGAAAAATGGAGACAATTATACAAGAAAGGAAGGGAAACAGCTACTTGATTTTAAGCTCAGGTTTCAAAAATCTTCAGAGAAGGCAGGTAAGAAACTCTAGATACTTTCCCATGGTCAAATATGGTCATATGCCTCATTTCATAAATATTATAATTTATTAGGGATAACAGTTTTAGATTTTTCCCCTAAACCCATGATTTCTTGCTTTAAATGAAGTCTCCCTCATAGTGCCACCTTGAAATTCATAAACTGACCTGCAGTTTCTTTTGGAAAAAAAAAAACCTAATCGATATGGATTTAAAGAATAAATATCATACACCCATGGTGAACTATTTTGTCACCTCCAGATAAAAGTGAATTTCTTCTTTACAATGAAGAAATTCAGAGTATTTAAGAGTATATTCCCATATAATGACTGGACTTACAAAAGTATGGGCCTTCATATAACAGATTGTGAAGATGACCTTGAAAAGGGGAGTAGCCTAGCTATAGCTGATAACTGTAGTCAAAACTCATCAGACCTAATAAAATTCTTAGAAAATGGATTAAAAGCGCTGTCCCTAATGTAAACTATAATTAGACAGTATTGTGTGTTGGAGGAAAACCACCAACTCAGTAGCTGACCCTAATGTGGAGGCAAAAAACAGAGGACTTTGTTATTAGGCACAGGGAGAAGACTACTTTTTTTTTTCTTTTAATAAAGAGACCTGATTAAATGTGAACCAGTAGCTACCAAAAGTGGGGTAAACTATCAGCACTCTAAAATGGCCATATGTTGTATACTTCTAGTTAATTCTGATGTTGCAGAGAAAGAGATCACCACCTTACTTAAAATAACAAGAGATGAAATACAAAGTAAAGCAATAAGAATTAAAAATCAAAACACAATGACAAAACCCCATGATAATGAATTTGTAAAAAAGCATGGTAAGGAATTAAAAAAAAATGTATATAGCAACAGTGCAAATGGCACCCATGTCAGGTCCCGTGTACAATGTCTTCAATGCAGTGTAGTTTCTTCTCAGCAGCCACCTATGAAGAACTGAAGAGTAGTGAATGTACACTGTGGACGGTTCACTAACACCATAAGTAAGTGTGGCCAGTGCCATAATTCTTGTTTGGTGACTGAACATTATCTTGGGAAGTAGTCACTAGACTTTTTTTCTTAATAAGCAGTTTCTTACTAGTAAGTTCTGGTCCATAGTGAACTAGAATGATCTTAATGGAACTCCTTGGTTTTTTGTTAACTCTTTGCTTCTTTATAAAACTCCATTTGATAGGTAGCCACTAAAATCCTTCCTCTTTACAACTTCCCTTTCCTTTTCCATATGGTGGACCCTATGTAAACCTAAAAAAATATGGTAACTTAATATACAAGGTTTCTCAAAGTGCAAAATGTGTTACATATAATTTCATAGGCTTCATTTGAACAAAGCATTTTATACAATACAGTACAGTTTGAGATTTCTGCTCATAAATTACATCACTCAACAGACAACTACTATAAAAGCCTGGCCAACTCAAAGTAACCCAATGCCTTCTTACACAAGGTTAATACACTTGAACTGTACAAGCTTTGTTCGGACCAAAAAAACACAACCTTATACTTACCACATATGTACATATATATTTTAAAATACTATTTAAATGCTTATGTATAGCTAGACAAATCTCACAAACCATGAATTACTGTTCGGTTTCTGGTTTGCAAACACTCTATACAATATTATAAAAAATAATTTGCAAAACTATTTTATCTCTTTCTGCAAGATCTCCTCACCCTGTAAGTCTTTTGGCAGGGTTCTTGTCCGCTGCAGAACCAGGCTAAGTTCTTCAATAACCTTTGATGGTAACTTACTATCCGAGTCTAAAACAGCTTTGCCATTCCTGTCCTCAGTCTTCCTCAATGTCTTGAGGGCTTTCTGGCTTTTTTGTTGCCCCTGAAGGGCCTCAGCCTCTGTGTCCTCCAGACAGTTGAAACTCCGATGTTTTCTGGTTCGAGTTCGAAGTTTCTCGTCCTTGTGCTCGAGGCACTGGGCCACCATGGAGGCTCTTTCCCTTAAGTTGCCGTCCCCAAACTCTTGGTCACGCTTTTCACTGAGTCGCAGCCGCTCCAGCTCTGTTCTCGCACTCTGAAAATAAAATAGGGCATTTCAGGGGAAAGCAGGATTCGGTGGAATTTACATTGAAAACATATTCCACAGAAAGGTGGATGCTCCTTATTTTGAACTTATTTCTATGATTTAGGTTCTAACTTTTTAAAATGTATTTTTTAAATGTTTATTTTTGAGACAGAGCATGAGTGGGGGAGGGGCAAAGAGCTAGGGAGACACAGAATCAGAAGCAGGTCCAGGCTCTGAGCTGTCAGCACGGAGCTTGATGCGGGGCTCAAACCCACAAACCATGAGATCATGACCTGGGTTGAAGTCGGACACTTAACCAACTGAGCCATCCAGGCGCCCCTTAGGTTCTAACTTTGACACAAGTGGCATGTCACAATTTATTGACCAAGAGATAATGCAGTCATCTTATAGGTACAAAATCAACTGAAAGGTAGATCATGGAAATTCATTTTAAGATACACTTAACATATAGCTTCAAACAGGTCTCTCAGGTTAATTATTCAGATTGATTCTCATTTCAATTTTTTAAAATGTTATTTAAATCCAAGTTAGTTAACATATAGTGTAATAATGGTTTCAGGAATAGAATTTAGTGATTTACCACTTACATAAAATACCTGGTGCTCATCCCAACAAGTGTCCTCCTTAATGCCAACTGCCCATTTAGCTCATCCCCCTCAACACCCCTTTAGCAACTCTCAATTTGTTCTCTGTATTTAAGAGTCTCTTATGGTTTGTCTCTGTTTTTACCTTATTTTTCCTTCCCTTCCCCTATGTTCATCTCTTTGGTTTCTTAAATTCCACATGAGTGAAATCATATAATATTTACTTTTCTGACTTTTTTGGCATAATACATTCTAGTTCCATCCATGTTGTTGTAAATAGCAAGATTTCATTCTTTTTGATTGCCAAGTAATATTCCATATGTATATACCATCTCTTCTTTATTCATCAGTTAATTAACATTTGGGCTCTTTCCATAATTTGGCTATTGTTGACGGTGCTGCTATAAACATTGGGGTGCATGTGCATCTTTGAGTCAACATTTTTGTATCCTTTGGATAAACATCTAGTAGTGCAATTGCTAGATTGTAGGGTAGTTCTATTTTTAATTTTTTGAGAAAGAAACCTCCATTCTCTTCTCCAGAGTGGCTGCACCAGCTTGCATTCCCACCAGCAGTGGAAAAGAGAATTCTTTCCCCGCATCCTCCCCAACATCTGTTGTTTCCTGAGTTAACATTAGCCATTCTGATAGGTGTAAGGTGGTATCTCATTGTGGTTTTCATTTGTTTCATTATCACTGATGATGAGTGATATTGAACATCTTTTCATGTGTCTGTTAGTCATCTGGAGGTCTTCTTTGGCAAAGTGTCCATATGTTTTCCCATTTCTTTACTAGATTGTTTTTTGGGTGCTGAGTTTGATGAGTTCTTTATAGATTTTGGATAGGAACCCTTTATCTGATATGTCACTTGCAAATATCTTCTCCCATTCCTCTTGCTGCCTTTTAGTTTTGTTGATTGTTTCCTTTTTGTGCAGAAGCTTTTTATTTTGATGAGGTCCCAATAGTTCATTTTTGGTTTTGTTTCCCTGGCCTCTGGAGACCTGTCTAGTAAAAAGCTTTTGAGGCTGAGGGGCTTTCATTTCAAACTTGCCTCTTCTATTTCATTGCTGCTTAAATGTGCCATATGTTAGTGTATGTGAAATTCCTTCAGTGTCATGTCTGTGGCTATATGATTTGGGGATATGCTCTATACTTGTACTACAGCCCCCTCTGAGACTCACAGTACATATTAGGTATATTAAAAATGTTGAGGGGTGCCTGGGTGGCTCAGTCGGTTAAGTGTCCAGCTTTGGCTCAGGTCACGATCTTGCAATTCCTGGGTTCGAGCCCCGCGTCAGGCTTTGTGCTGACAGCTAGCTCAGAGCCTGTTTCAGATTCTGTGTCTCCCTCTCTGACCCTCCCCTGCTTACACTCTCTCTCTCAGAAAAAAAAAAAAATGTTGAGAAGTTCTATGGCAGAGAAATCTGTTTGATTTTTCTATTCTCTTCCTCCTCCAATATCTGACCAGTGAAATCCTTCCTCCCATACAATATCTTTTAGAATACCACAGATGCATTTCTGAAAATACTGAAATAACTATGTATATGAATTAAATATATAACTCATTGAATAGAAATTAATCATATTAAATAAATATATATATTTATCATTTAAAACTCACTTTTGGATCTGAGAATTAGAGTACACTTTCATTCACTGAACTATAAAGGTGTGCTATCTTAACTAGTGTTCAGGAGGTCTTGTGACTGGGCAATTTCTGGCAAACAGAACTTTTATCAGATTTATCAAAGGGTATGACAACTTAAGTGTAAGATGTAAGAACAAACAACAGAGAATCAAGCATATGGCGGTACGGGGCCACTGAGAGCAAGGAAGACTACCCGATAAACTGGATCAGAGCATAGGTGGAGTGGAAAGAAAGTTACTTTTCTTTTTACAAGAAACAAGAATTGAAGAAATGTTTTCAAAATGTCCCCAGTAAAAGCTGCAAAACCTAGAAAGTAAATATCTGAAGGAGAATTTATGTTACAAGTGCTGAAACAAGATGAAATGTTAACCTAGTATTACATGTGAAACTGAGTAGCATAAATGGAAAAGATATTCAATATAATTAAGTTTAAAAGACAACTCCCACCTTTCTCTATTTTTCTCTCTAGAGCTTACTATGGTGATTATCTGAATGCCCTGCTACAAAGTTGACTCAATGAAAGCAGAGGGTTTTTGTTCACTGAAATGTGAACCTAGTATAGTGCCTGTGCTTAGGAAATAATCAGTAACTTTTTGAGTATTGCATAAAGGTTTAAATTTTTTCAAACATATAACATTGTTTTATTTTCCTAAATTCCATTCAATCCAGACATGAAATTAAAACATACAAATTCAGGTTAAATATAAATATTTTCATAAATAAATTTTATACATTTTTAACTTTGAATTTTGTGAAAAAATTATGCTATATTATCTCATGTAAATACATTTTTCTACTCTAAAAACGGATGAAATATTTAGTAACCAGCTTAATTCCAAAGTTTCATTAGACTTTGTTAAAGTACAGAGACAATGGTGATGTTTGCACCATGTGTATATAATTAATGACATTGAACCATACACTTAAATAGGATTAAAATGAACAGATTTATGTTATGTATAACAAAATAGCCCTCCTCTCAAATGAAAGATTAATGAGAATGGCGACTAACCAACACAGGGATATGACTGGGATGATTAAATATTAATCACGGTAAGATTTATTTGGCATTTATTACCTGGAGAAAATTAAGGAGCAACATAGACTTTTTTAAACTGAAGCATAGTTGACACACAATGTTACATTAGTTTCAGGTGTACAACATAGTGAGCTGACAAGTCTGTTATGCTATGTTCTCCCCACCTGTAGCTACCATCTGTCATCCTACATCACTATTACATTATCACTGACTATACTCCCTGTGCTGTGCTTTTATTTCATGAACTATTCATTCCATAACTGGAAGCCTGTCTCTCCCTCTCCCATTCATCCATTTTGCTCATTCCCAACGTTCCTGGCAACCATTAGTTTGTTCTCTGTATTTATGGATTGGTTCTGTATTTTTTTTTTTTTTTTAGACTCCACATATAAGAGAAATCACATGGAATCTGTTTTTCTCTGACTTGTTTCATTTAGCATAATATCATCTGCATCCATGGATGAAGTCACAGATGGAAGATTTCATTTTTTATGGCTGAGTAATATTCCACTATATACATACGTACCAGTTCATCCATTTATCTAAGGACACTTGGGCTGCTTCCATAACTTGGCCTTATAAACAATACTTCAGTAAACATAGAGGTACTTTTATCTTTTTGAGTTAATGTTTTCATTTTCCTTGGATAAATACACATTAGAATTACTAGATAGTATATTATTTCTAATTTTCTGAGGAATTTCTATACTACTTTCCACAGTGGCTGCACCAATTTACATTCCCACCAGCAGTGTACACCTGGGTTCTTTTTTCTCCATAGTTTCATCAATACTTGTTATTTCCTATCTTTTGGGTACTAGCAACTTTGATTGGTGTAAGGGGCTATTTCAATTGTGGTTTTGATTGGCCTTTCCCATATGATCAGTGATGTTAAGCATCTTTTCATCCATCTGTTGGCCATATGTGTGTCTTCTCTGGAAAAATATCCATGTCCTCTGCCCATTTTTAATCAGGTGGCTTAGTGTTGAGTTCTAAAAGTTCTGTATATTCTGGATATTAACCCTATTGGAAATACATGTACAAATATGTTCTCTCATTCAGCAGTTCTCTTTTTGTTGGCTTCTTTTGCTATGCAAAAGCTTTTTATCTTGGTATAGTCCCAACAGTTTATTTTTGCTTTTTTTCCCCTTGTCCAAGGAGATGTACCATAAGGTATGTTGCTAAGGCCAATGTCAAATAATTGCCTCAGGTCTCACATTTAAAGTCCGTAATCCATTCTGAAATTATTTTTGTGTATAAGAAAGTGGGCCAGGTTCATTTTTTGCAGGGAGGTATACAGTTTTCAAAGTACCATTTATTGAAGACACTATTGAAGACACTGTCTCCCCGCCCCATGTATTCTTGATTCCTTTGTTGCAATATTAATTGACTGCATAAGAATGGATTTATTTCTGGGCTTTCCATTCTGTCCCACTGATCTGTGTCTGCTTTTGTGCCAGTACCAAACTGTTTGGTTATTATTACTGTAATGTATCTTGAAATCTGGGATTGTAATACCTTCCACTTTGTTTTTCTTTCTCAAGACTGCTTTGGCTATTCAGGATGTTTTTGTGGTTCCATACAAATTTTAGAATTATTTGTACTAGTTCTATGAAAAATGTTATTGGTGTTTTGATAGGGATTGTATTAAATCTGTAGATTGCTTTCAGTAATATAGACATTCTAACAGTATTGGTTCTAATTCATGAGCATAGAAACTCTTTCCATTTGTATCATCTTTAATTTCTTTCATCAGTGTTTTATAGTTTTTGGAGAAGAGATCTTTTGACTAGTGGTTAAGTAATTATGATATATATTTTTTTTAATTTCTCTTTTTGCTCTTTCATTAGTGCACAGAAACTCAGCATTTTAATAATAACCTTCCAATCCATGAGAATGTATTTCCAATTTTTTGTGTCATCTTCAGTTTCTTTCATCTATGTTTCATATTTTTCAGAGTAGAAGTCTTTCACTTCCTTAAATTTTCCCAGGTTATTTTATTCTTGTAATTACAAACGGAATGGTTTTCTTAATTTCTTTCTGCCACTTTGTTATCAGTGTATAGAAACAGATTTTTGTATATTATCACTTCTAACAGTTTTGGGTGGAGTCTTTGGGACATATATATGTACACACACACACACACATAATCATGGTAACAGTTCTCATGATCTTTCAACCATTAGCAGAACAGACTTCAGGATTTTCTTAGATGTAGAATTTAGGGGTCAAGTATTCACGCATTTAATACTAAAATTTCAAGTAAACATTAGTATTAGCCTAAAAGAGAGGTAATCTTATATGAAGGTGGGGATAGGTGATGGAAGTGACCTGTTAAGAGTCAAGAGGATGGGACAGTGAGGCTTTTCATGAACAACATGGTGTGCTAGAGTGCCTTGCGTGTTGTGGGGGAAGGAACACAGTTTATGTCCTTAAAAGATAAGGCATTAGTAATTTAAAAAGAAGGATAGAGGGGGCGCCTGGGTGGCTCAGTCAGTTAAGTGTCCAACATTGGCTCAGGTCATGATCTTGCAGTCTGTGAGTTCAAGGCCCACATTGAGCTCTGTGCTGACAGCTCAGAGCCTGCTTTGAATTCTGTGTCTCCCTCTCTCTCTCTCAAAAATAAACACATATTAAAAATTTTTTTAAAATAAAAAGGATAGGTAAGGTATGAAATTAGAGAAGCAAGAGGTAATGTGGTGCAGATGATGTCAGTTTGTGCCAGAGTAGGTTTAGAGAAAACTAGTTTTTAATAGAAATGATGATGTGAGAAGGAGTCTTTTCCCCACAGAGAGTAATTCCTAATGTCATTGCCAGAGCATGGTACAGGAATGTGTTCTCAGAGCAATCACATGGCTTTAGTCTGTGCCGTTATACTTTCCATAACATCCAGATACAGGCTAATGGTTATGAAGGTCTCACAATACCAAAACATACAATGATCAATATGTAGATTACAGAAGGAATGGTCTTAAATAACTTTCACTACTAAACTCACTATATTAGTTGATAATCTCCATGCTATAAAATACATAATCCTATCACTAGTTTATAAGATCATGACCTGAGCCGAAGTCGGACGCTTAACTGACTGAGCCACCCAGGTGCCCCTTCTTTTTTGCTTTGAGGGGGTCAATTAAGGCACTGAAACATGCATTCGTCCCAAAGCATCAAATGAGTTTTGAGTGCAAACAGCTCATATCCTTTCCCGATGAGACTGAACTTCAAGATTAATGTTACTTATGTTCTCCTTGCCCCTCAAGGTGAGAAGGGAAACAAATAGCCGCTTTCCTCAAAGATGCCGTCGTTTTATTGATGCTCAGCGGTCATCTTGCAGTTCCTTAAATTAACTGCGACACCCCCCATCAGTTCTCAAACCCCTGGGATTTGACTGTGTTACTAAGTATAGTTACTATAGCTCCAGGCATAATCAGCCCTGGGCTCATTCTAAGGGTGTTAGAAGTCAACTTGTACAACTAATTTGAGACTGTGATTTTACCATGTGGACCTCTGAATACATATTTAAAATCACCTACATTACAGATAAGAAAGTAAGTGGTATTATGCATATTTAATTGGACGGTCAATGACATTAAGATTGTTTAAGAAAATATAAAACTTAAAGGGAGTACAGGGTTATTCATAATTTTTTCTTACAGGATATGTCTTTTATAATATTCTTTCTAAAGATTACTGTTGTGCTTTTGAAGCCAAAGAAGTAATGTACTTAATCACATTAACACATAAGAAAATGTTATAATAAATATAAAACAAAGAAAATCTGAACCTACCTCAATATTTTTCCTGGCTTGGGTTGCACTTCTTTCATGCTGGATTGGAATTAGAGGCAAACCTCCGATTTTGGGATTTTTGGTTATAGAACGTTTCCGTTCCTTTCCAGCTGGTGGCAATATATCATTTTCATGCTGTGGAAACACAATTTCTTGCTGTTGGTGTGTTATTATTATGTAGTAGATCATATTATAGAGTCACTTGGTTCCTTTTCCATATTTCCAAATCAAATGACCTGCTTTCTAGGAGAATTCCATTTGTAATTAGGATGTCGACTCTGGTACCAGCATTGCTTAGGGTATAAAACTCTTAAGAAAACAGAGCTTTGAGGTCTCCATTCAATTTCTAAGTTTCAAATACATGGCTTCTATACTATCAAAAGGAGGAAAACATTGGAGGAAACCGGCAAATCTCTTTGTGGGAGAAAATAACACACTTGTCTATTTTCCTAGGCCCTGTAATCAAAGTTTTTTCTCCCTCCATCAAAGACAACCTTAGTGTAAAACTAATTTGACCTTAAAGACCTCAAATCAACCTAAGGCATGGCGGTTAGAAAAATCAGCCTTATTTTATGACCTTTTGAAAAATGTCACTTTTTCATCTAATTGAATTCCAAAGAAATTACCTTGCACACAGACATTTATACTGAAAATCACTGTCCAACCACTGGCACATTTGTTCTCAAATTGACTACATATTCTGTCCAATTCAGCAATTATAGATGACTGGAGAAAAATTAATTTTGTATTGGGGAGAAATATTCACAGGTAAAAATATAAGCTTTTGCGTGATAAATCCTTCAGATATGCATGTACAAGAAAAATATTTAAAGAATTTTTCTACTCCTCAGGGTAGATTAACTTTCCAGAACTTGGCAAAAGTAAAATGATTTTCAGACAACAATCTTTGAAAGAAATACAGAATACGAATTATAAAATGATAAGCTTTACGGATGTTCTGATGAAATGAAAACCTTTTGGTAAACTGTCTAGCTAGAGCCTATTCTTTTTCCCCCCCTCTATTCTTAAGATTCAACACATTTCTGTTGTTCATTTAAATCAGTATTTTGGGGTACTTTATAGCAAAGAATTCAACAAATATTTGCTATGTACCCATATATAATGACGGGATTATATTGAGGGGCATATGCCAGACTTTATCAGTGTATATAATCTCACAACATATGTAACTACATATAAATAAAATCTCATTTAATCTTCAATGATCCTACAGTGTAGATCTTTTTTTACTAGATTGAGTGTATATGTATCAGATCTACCCTTGGATTTTAGTGAACTATTTATTTTGGATCAGCAAATGTATAATGGAAGATTATAAAATATTTCAGAAAGAAAGTTATAAGCTTCATAATGCTATTTTTATGTCACAGCCCTAAACTTGGTAAAACAGTTTTAATATTATGTAATTAGGACGTTCTCAACATATAAAAGCTAAAAGAAAACTGGATGGAAAGGAATTCACTAACTCTATGGATTATGCTTACACTTTATATAGTACATGTGTTAAATGACAGAAATCTAAGAGCAAACACAGTCTCAAATACATACTTCTTTTTCTGACATGACTACAGTGTTATTAGTTCGTACTGGATGGATCAAAGAGGTATTTTTCCCAACAGTACAAAACACTGTATCTTAGTAATATATTCTGACATTCATAGTTTTCTATAAATGACCTTAAAATTCATGGATCACATAGCTGAGGATCATACTTTCATTATTATAACAGTGATCACACCCCAAAATCTTCAGTTCTCTCACTTTCTATTTTTTCCCATCCTTCCAGCTCTGCAGCATAATTGACAAAATTGAAAGATGTTGAAAATGTACAATGTGATGATTTGATATATGTATACAATGTGAAAGGATTCTCCCCAATCAAGTTAGTTAATACATCACCTTGCTTATTAATTTCTTTTGGTGAAAACATTCAAATTCTTAACAAATTTCAATTATATAATATAGTATTATAACTATATCAACAGTGACCTTTTTTATATTAGATCCTCAAACCTTATTCATCTTCTAGCTGAAAGTGTGTACCCTTTTGCCAACCTTCCCCTATTCTCCCTATCCATCCAGCAACCACTCTGTTGTGTCTATGTTCAACTTTCATTTTTAAATTCCACATGTAAGTGATACTTATAGTCTCTGTCTGGCTTATTTCATTCAGTCTAATGTCCCCCAAGGTCATCCATGTTGCCACAAATGACAAGACTTCTTTCTTGTCTAAGGGTGAATAATAATGTGTGGGGCAGTGGGGGGGGGGGGGGAATACACACACACACTTTATCCATTCATCCTTGGACACTTAGCTCATTTACATGCCTTGGCAACTGTGAATAATGCTGCAATGAGTGTGAGGTGAGTCTGTCTCTCACTTTTTCTGACCCTGTTCTCTTACAACTTAATTCATTCACTTCTTTAGACTCCTTAAGATATCCAAATCCATTCTCTACTTCTCTACTGTCATTCTACTTTCCACTTCTTTCATAGGTTGTCTTAGATTTCACAGTCCATAAGAATTTCACAGTCCTTATAAATATCTCCACGTTCTTTGCTGCTCTTTCTTTCATCATCCCTGTCTGGCAAGGCCCCGGAACTCATTAAACCCAATTCTACTTGCTATTTGACTGCCCACCAATGGATGAAGAAAGAGAAAGATGCTCCCTCTATACATTCATCTCACTTCAAATTTAACCTCAAGCACTCAGCATTAAGATGAAGTTCTACTTTCCTCTCTCTCTGAAGATTATTTCTCACCTTCCCTCCACCACTACATTTCCAATATCCCTCCCTAACCCACTATGGTCAGCTCACGGATTTTAAAAATTACCAGTAATCATTAAGGAATTTCATTTTTCCACCAGGAAATCTACCACTTTCCCTGCATCTTAGAGCCACAGAAGTGAGGGTCCCTTCTCTTCTCAGTGGGTTACAGTATATGGTCAATAATGAATCTTTAATCTTTAAATACAAATAAATTGAAACCCCAAAACCTACTTTGACCTCTTTTTTCTCTCTAGTCACAGAGCCTCATTTATCTGCATAGGAAATTCCTTAACTGGATTTTCTATACCAGTCATCTGGTTTTCCTTCTTCTCAACCCTTCTATTTTCATTTGCTGTTTTTTTTTTCCCCTCTTCTGCTCAACCTTTAAAATTTGGAATGCCCAAGGGCATACTCTTCTGTTCTCCCTACACTGTGTGTGCCCTTCTTTCATTTTACATTTCCCTATCTCACCCAAATCCAGGGTATTCAATGCAAACTAAGTGTGGACTTTCCCCAAGTTTTTGCCTCAGTCCTTCCTCCCTCCCTCCCTCCCTGTAATCTCTATACCCAAAGTGGGGCTCGAACTCTTGACCCCAGGACTAAGAGTCACATGCATTTGCAACTAAGCCAGCAAGGCACCCCTTCTAACCTGCTATTCATCATATTTACTTGTATGTGTAAGAGGTATCTCAAATTGCAAGCAGCTAAAACAGAACTTTCCATATTTTTCTGGATCTCTGATCTTATCACTTTTTTTTTTTTTTTTTGCCAGTTTCCCAAAGCTAAAATAATAAACCAGGACTCTTCCTTGGTTTCTATTCTTTCTCTCAAACTGCTATAGCCAATCCATCTCCAAGTTTTACTGGCTCCACCTTCAGTGTCTTACTAGGTCCACTGACACCACCCTCCTCTGAGCTGTCATCTTCCACACAGCCCACCTTACATCTTGGACTCCCAACAGCGTGCCCTCAGCAAAGCAAACTAAGTTGTAATTTTCTCAGTTAACATAAATCAGATAAAATCCTTCTCTTGTTCCCCAAATTCATAAACTGGGACTACATGAACTGTTTATTACCTTCCTCTTCTTTTACATCTTTATCCACACAGCTCTTCCTGATGTTCATGGAACAAAGATTAGGACCACATCTCAGGCCCTTGTACTTGCTGGCTGTACTGGCATGCTATCCCCACTCCTGCATATTTGCATTACCTGCTCCCTAATTTCAGACAGATCTCAGCAGACCTGTCAGCTGTTTAGAAAGGCATTTTCCTGAGAACCTATCCTAGAGTGCCCTTCCTTATCTCAGTCACATCTCCTTTCTGTTGCTTTTATTATTATCTTATCTATTTGAAATTTTGTCAAGTTATTTATGTTCTCTCCATCTTACTTTAGGAATACTGAGCATGTATTTTGTAAATGGCATTGGATTCTATGGTTCAAGTATACATTTAGGTCTACTAAGACTGACAAAGCCTTTCTTGTCATGGAGTTTACATTTTTGTCAGAAAAATCTAATTACAGAGTACTTTCGAATTAGTGCCACAACTGAGGTAAGGAATGCTAAGGATTCCTATAGCCTGAGGTCTGACTGGTCTGAAGATCAAGGAGAGTTTCTCTAAGAATGTGACACAGAAATTGAAACCTAAAGGACTTCTGAAGCAGGAGTGAAGATGGGGATGGATATCATAAAAGTATTCTGCACACCAGTAAGAACTCATTGTAAGAAGCACTTAACTGTTGATGTGTGTGTTAACATATATATAACATTGCTAGTTTTCTGCCTCCCTATGGAGGTGAGCCATTAAATCCTTAAATCCAAGAAGGCCTTTCTGTTTATCTTAATCCTAAGCAGTGGAAAGAACAGGGGAAAAGTAATTGGGCTGAATCCCTAAGGCCAGGACAAAGAAGGACAGCTGAGACAGGGGGGAATAAACTGTCCACGAGAGCAACCTCTGCTTTCTGGCTATTTATATCTTGATTTTCAATCACAGAGTCTAGTGACTTCAATTAGAAAAACAATCAGAGTAGTTGTACCACAGACACTGTAACAGTTTTGACTCTATAGTTCCAATTTTACTAAAACACTTCAAATCTAGTTTACCCTTTTTTTAAGGACTTAAATATCGGAATTTCTAAAAAGTCACAATAAGAGGAAAAGTCTCTAAAAAGTGAGGTCTTTTTCTGCCTATGTGTTTTCAGGTAGTAACTGCAGCGTCAGACTGAGAAGAGCAGTGTTTTATTAACCACTGGAAAGGTTAATAAATTAAATGAACAGAAAAAAGGTTTTCAAAACAAGTAAGGGCCAGATGTGGGTGTGAATTAACTTCCCACTTATAAGAGAAACTGGGAAGTGCGTCCTCAGTAATCAAGACTGGCAACTTAATCGTTACCAGTGAATTTCAATGCTCTTGTGGAAAGCATTGCTGGGAATTTAGCCAGACGGGGGGGGGGGGGGGGGGGGGAAACAATCCTATTAATGAGACTATTAACCCTTCCCACAAAGACTGAGTCCTCCTCTAGCGAGGAGACTAAATGGAGAAGTGAGCATAGGTATTAACTTCTGGCACTCCTGGGTTTAAACTACTAAACTTAATGTGTGGTGCTAAGCAAATGATGGACTTTTTGTTTCCCTCATTCCTTTATCTATAAGCAATGCCATGTATGGTTTGTTACAAAGAATACAAAAGTTAGCTCTTCTGAAGTACCCAGCACACAATAAGTATTAAAGGAATGTAGGCTCCTGTCCTTATTTCTTCAAAGGCTAGAGTGAGGGGAGTAGGTGGCCATAGGGAGAAGATGGAAACGGCACACTTTTCTAAATGAAGATGAATGTGGTACTCTGGTAAACAGGCTCCTCTTTCTTATACTACCATCTTGAAGTAATACACCTCTCCTAAGGTAAGGAGTTGCTGGAGTGCCAAAAAAGAAGCCTCAAGAAAGAGAATAAGCTCTCTTTCAAAGGGTAACGGATCAATTTGGATTCTCATATACTTAGAAAAACTTATGAGGGGCACCTGGGTGGCTCAGTTGTTTAAGCGTTAGATCGTTAGACTTTAGCTCATGTCAATCTCACTGTTTGTGAGTTCAAGCCCTGCACTGGGCTCTGTGCTGACAGCTCAGAGCCTGGAGCCTGCTTCGGATTCTGTGTCTTCCTCTCTCTGTGTCCCTCCCCCACTCATGCTCTGTCTTTCTCTCCTTCAAAATAAACATTAAAAACAATTTAAAAAAAACATATGAATGAGAAAATAAAAGTATACACATAAAACTCTTGTTAAAGATGCTTTGGAAATCCCACTAACTTTTCCTATAAGCAGCCGTTCTACTTGGCTGGAGAGCAGAGACAGATTTCGTACCTGGGCAATAAAGACACTGGCCATCCACTCCGTCTGAGTTTGTAAGCTATCACAACAAATGTGCCTGTAAAACAAGGTTTATAAAATACATAATTCAAAAAAGCAGCAGACTGTTCTCCAGTGTATTTGTTTGGTTATTAAATGATCAGAAACCTCTTTGGGTTTCTCTTGATTCATGACTTAATGCAATCAAAGCGGGAGTATTTCAGTATAAGTTGCTTCAGGCTTCTGTTAAATGTGCAGTATCAAAATAATAGTATAAATATGCTAGTTTAAACAAAATACAGCTACAGGCTTTGGTAACTGCTGAAGAATGATCGGCAATATTTTTGGAAAGGCAGAAAGGTCACTGTCATTTACTTTTTCATGTACATGATGTTAAACACATCTTTTCCCCCAGAAACTGTGAGCCTAAAGAAAAATATGTGCACATTTTCTTAAGAGCATACTTTTTAAAAAGGCTTAGACAGTTTCCATCATTAGGATTATAAACATTTAATACCCGCAAGACTCATGAAAAATGAACCAAATGAAAAACTACTACTGCATGTCCAATAACACCAACTCAGTAACCTTTTATTGAAAACCTACATAAAACCGAGATCTTGCCCTCAAGGTTCACACAGTCTATTAGAGGAGCTAGATATGTAAACAAATAAATAATAGAGCACAGTGAGAAAAAGAGAAAGTATCATTGACACAAATACAGAAATAGCACACTTGGGGATGCGGTAAAGGTTTCTTATAAAAGGAAACTTTTCTAAGCGATGTTAAAATGACATGGACATTTCAATGTAATTATATACTTTTTATATTCCTGTATAAAAATAATTTGGAAAAAATGTCAAAATGAAACCTGTAAAAAAATTCATGCTTCCTTTATTAGATTCTCGTAAGGATATTGTCCCTTTCCATTAATGCGTACAAAAAAACTGTCTTCTTAATAATTATGCATCCATGTGTGCAGGATACTATACATGGCAAGAAGAAATAAGTAATGATTAGAGGTGAGAGTTATCAGACTTTTGGAGCATTTGAGCTATAATTTGAAAGAATGACAGTTGTGTCTACCACATCAGCAGGAAGGGGATGGGAGTGGGAGGTAAGGGAGTAGCATATAGTATGAAGAAGACTCAGTAGAGGACTCCATATGCTAAACATGTAGAGATGAAGGAGAAAGGAATGCATGGTGAATCAAAGCAGATTGCTGCTTTATCAGTAAGTAAAAAAGGGAGAGATGAAGCTCATGAAATGCTATGCCAACAACCCTGCACTTTATCCTTTAGATAGAGGATTCATAGAAGAGCCTGAATGCAGGAAAGAAACAATACACTTTAGAAAGCCTCTTTAGTGGCTGGGTAGAGCATATTCTAGAAAACAAAAATAAAATTAGAGGCATGAAGAGCACTCAGGATGAGTGGAATAAACCATGCAGATGAAGGCAGGCATGGCCTGATAGGGGAGATCATTAAAAGGCAGATCCAGGCTGGCTCAGTAACGACTAACAGAGACACAGGTAGGGCTGAAGGAGACGTCCAGTACAGTTTCTAGGGAGACTGGCTAGCTCCTATCACAACAATGGAAAAAGTACATATATGGAAATAAACAGTTTGAGGTCAAGATTTTTTTTTTTTTTTATACTCAGCTTTGGCTAGTTCTTATCCTTTATATAAAGCTGAATTCTGCCTTCTTATCCCATAAGAGCTGGGATTCCACACTCATATAATAACCAGAAAGAAATCAGATACGCTTTCTCTTAAGAGGCACTGGGAGGTAGGACACGGGATTGAAATGGACCTAAACCTTGAAGCAAATCTATTTTCTTTTTCTCAGACTAAATATACTTAAAAAAAAAAAATTAACTTCACTTAGTTTGTGCAACGTTTCCTGTCTGTTAATCAATGCCAGTAACATTGTTTAGTAAAGTTATCAATATCTGAAATCCAAAAACTGCCAGCAGTTAACTTACCAGTGATGTTTTTCAGAATATGCTGTCAATCCCCAACTAAATCACATGGGAAAAAGCACACATACACAACATATTAATAAAGATCAATTGTACAAAACTAAAAGCAGGAGTAGATGTTAAGAAGGTGATATTTAATGGTGGCAATGTGTAATATAGAACAAATACCCAGGAGTGATGATTCAGTGGATAGGACTGACCTAGAGGTAAATAATAAATGAGGGGTTCGGCTACAAATTTAAATATGCTGAAGGGAGAGGGAAGGAAGGAGTTTATATGATGTTATGGGAAGGTGGGGAAATCTCTCAGAAGATACTCTTGGCTGAAGAAGGAGATGTCTAGGAAAATGGCCAAAATAAGAGGATTTATACACTGTCCTACTGAACTGTGGGAAACTAAATGTCAACTGTAACACAGGTGTATATTCTGGGTTTAGAATTAAGCATGTAGGCAAAAGAGAGAAAATCTTCATAACAGAATCCCCAACTAAGCATGTAATGGTTCATCAAAATGCTTCATAAGAAAAGTATTCCTGCAAACCTAATTAGCTATTCAAATTAAACTGTGATAGAAAATATTGGCATAAACCAAATGCTGGCATGATTCAAATGTTGAAAAGGAGGACACTGTATAAGAGGAGTCCACTTCCTCTCGGCCACCTATGTGCTGTGGGTTTACTACCAAATTCAGCAAGATGAATAGGGCAAACTACATAGCCAGGCATCAAGAGGCTGTTTTCCTGAGTATAGAATTGCCTGGAAGATTCCTTATGTCCTCAGGTTGGGAGACTGATCAAGGAACAGAATGTGGAGAAAAACCCATGTGTTTTTCAGTAGACAGGGCCTTCTGGGGATTTCCTGCTTTATGCAGCAGAGATGCAATCACCAAGGGGTTTGACTGCAGTGGAAACATCAGGCTTCTTTATCTGCCCACATAATTTTCCTCCATCTGCCAACAGGCCCCCTGCCATGTCTGTGACAGTTCAAAGACTTTGTTTAAAGCTTAACTTATAAAACGTTAAGTTGATAAACCCCTCTGGTCTTCAAATCCTTAAAAAGACGAATATTCCTATAGCTTTTACTCTTCAAAAACCCTTCCCTTTCAAACTTTACCTTGTTGGAGGCTTCATTTTCTTTTTCACTCCAAGATAAAACTTCATTGAACCGAGAGAAAACATTTTCTCATATTTACTACTCTGTAAGGAAAACAAAATAATTTGTAATTAAATAGATTTTAGAAATATCTTAATATTTTCCTGGAGTATTGATACCTGGATTTAGGATTGTTTAGTTTCTCCAATGTTCTATGGATGTTAATACCAAGTTTTTAGTCAATGAAGATTGTTCTGATTACAATGTTATAAATTTAAATAGAAAATATGGGTCATACATGTACACTTAAAGAAGTGTGTATACATATACACAAAAACAATTTTTGATTCAAAACACCTGGGACTAGATATACATCAGAACTGATCATTTTTCTTTTTTTTGGGGGGGGGTATTTTAAAAAGACAGTAATATGCAATAGATGATGTAATTTCACCAGTGTTACCTGGGGCAGCGTCCTCTATTCATGTAACTAAGGCAACTGCTTTCATGTGAGGTTTTGCCACCAAATGTATTATGACTTTCTGTACTTTTTGGATTTAAGAATAATGGAAAGCACACTGTGAACCCTGATGGGTACATATTGAACTATCTCAAGTATCCATATTAACGTAATTTTTCACAGTTCATAAAGGTAGACTATTAAAAATAATTTACATCTGCTTTGGTTCAATTAGTCTCCATACACATCCTGATATACTTATTATTGGTAACTAATATTTTTAAAAATCCTGAACACAGACCATCCAAACTTCTATCAAACCATACCCAGTATCCAAGTACTGATCCTTGGATAACCTGAAATAGATTTCAAAAAGATAACAGCCATGAATATAATTATTAACACATGCTTTTTCCAGATCCTAAAAATTCTGAAGGAAATATCTTATTTCAAACTGCATATAGCATTCATAGGTAAAAGTAAGGGGCTTGGGATCATAGAAACTTGGGTGCAAATCTGGCTTGCTACTTAGTTTGTGATCTCACATTACTTTACTCGTTTGTAAAGAGGGACAATAAAAATACTGAGTATCTCACGGGGTTATTATTAAGATTAAGTGACTAAGGAAGGGGTTGCTGTGAAGGATTATTCTATAAATTAAGTGAGACAAATGCCTATAAGGTGTTTAGTCAGGTAATCATCAAAAAATTTGTGTGATAAATTACAGCTGCTATTATTATGAACTTTGAACATATTACTTCAGAGACAGCAATATATACAAACTAAGAATTCTAAGACAGTGCAAAGAAGCCATTTAGCAAATATTGGCTAAAGTTTAATACAAAGTACATTTAGCTGAAATTAGTACTAAGTTCTATACAAGTTAAAATATTACTATGAAATCTTCATGAAAGCAGTCAAATTTGAAAAGTAAAGAATGAAAAATATGTTTAGAAAATTAAAAATTGCCTTCCAAAGAGATGACAGGTTAGGAGAATACAGAGTAAACATAAAGGAAAAGCAAGCAAGAATGTATCAGGAATAATGCTTGGGTGACTAGTGGTCTCTGGCAGTGAGAAGGCCTGGGATTTACATGATGAGTTTACTCCTAGTCAGTATGATCAATGTTTGCTATTATCATCATGGTAGATAATTTTAAAAATGTGTATTTTTGGATATTTTTTCCCCTTCTGGCTAGATTTCTAGAAATGAAATCACTGGGTCAAAGGCGAGGAACATGAGTAAGATTTTGGCTAAACTGATAGGCTAATTAAATATACACTCCTAAGTACCTTCATTAGCAATTTTCACTTTTGATTTGGTCAACAATTTATCTTTACGTATTTGTTTGAATTAGTTCTCTATATATAAAAGAAAAGCTGCCTTATCTTTTAAAATGAGATATTCTACAGAAATTGTTTTCAATAATTTTGCTGTTTATTGTTATTTTTATACTTTTACTGAAGTATACAGTTTTTTTCTTTTGAACTTTCTTAACTATGCCTCTTCAACTTAAAAGCTGACAAATACTAAATTGCATGGCCATGCAATCTGAATGGTTGCTATTTTTAAAGTTAATTCTTTTGTCAATCTAGAATATATCTTTTATATACAGTATAAAAATTTAAGTTAAAAATTTTAACAATTAACCCAGCCCATTAAACAAACCTTTCTTTAGACATGCATTTATGATGGCATACTTATAAAAAATAAATCTTAATACACAATTAAGCCTTTTACCTAACTTTATGTTACCACTGCTATCTTGCTATCTTTTTTATGCTGGGATCTTTTCATCTAAGCCATTTTAGTTTTATTGCAGATGATGACAGTTCTTTATACAACAAAATGTTTACAAGTATTCTTATATATTTATACTTTGAGGTGATTATTGTATCATTTTTGTCAAGTTCTAAAAATAATTCCTTTGGGATTTTGAAAACAATTACATTAAGCCTATAAATATTAGACTTTATATACATTTTATTTCTATCAGTGAAGTTCTGTAGTTTCCTTCATAAACACTCGACTTCTTGTTAAGGTCATTTTCTGGTAGTTTATGTATTTTGTCTTTTAGATCTGACTGAGGACTGGTCTTGGGGTATTGATTTTGTAGTGTGCCACTTCACTGAACATTAAGGCGTAACACTGAAGTCTAATGGAGAACAGTGAGGTAGCTTTCTAAAGCATTAAATGTTTCATGTAGGAAAGAATCAAAGCAAAGAGAATTTAGGAATGTATATAGTTGTGGAACCTCCTGGCTACCTCTGTCAGAGATTACATGGGATTGCAACTGAGTGAATGTCCCTCCTCATGGCTGAGAGACTCCTGTTCCCTTGGACTCAGTCCCAACGGAGGCAAACAGGTGGGGTGAGAGGCAGCAATGCCAGCAGTATGGGGAAGACAGGAGTTGCACAGCTGAGATCAATGTTTGCTATTACCATCTGCTGAAGCAGGTAGTCTTGGTTTATACAGGACATCAGTAGGCCCAGGACTGCCTACAGTTTGAAGTATTTTTGGCAGTAGAGAGTCTGAAGTCATACAACTGATTCTCAAGCCACTCCTGACATGCAAGCTCATTACTTTATACCACTAATGACAGAATTTGTGTGGAAATCAGCAATGGTGGAAAGAAGCATTTTTAGTTTCAATCTTTAAATATAAAGTGTATATGTAAGAATACTAATGGAAAGTTCTATAAAAAGAAATCTCATTTGGCAAGATTACTGTTGGTTTATTACAATTCTCTTTTTTGGTATGTGTATTTTATGGAGAATTCTTCAAAAACTTCAATATACTGGACTGTAAGGAAGTCTCTAACGTGTTACTTCAGGCACTATAATTCAAAAGAAAGTTTTTAACTAAGCCAATTAAATTAGTGTGCTTAAAAAAATTATTCTTGCACTAAAAGGAGTTTGCTTATTAGTGCATGAAACTTTTAATGACCCCCCCCACTAATCCACTTGCTTTTTTTCACACCATTAACAGTGTAATGGTAATATTCTTTGAAACTTCTCACCTTTTATGTAAATCAAGTCTGAAAACATTTTAATTAACATTTTCTGTGCAGAGAAAACTCTCAAAACAAAATATATCTTCCCCTGTGTATTACCCTAATTTGTTGTTAATGAGCATTCATAAATTATCTCTAATTAACACATACTCTTTTTAAATACACTTTTCAATTTGTAATTTCTACTTCCTTCTCAGTAAATCATTTTCTAAGTATTTACAAGCATACACATATTAATGGCAAAACTGTCAAAACCAGAGCCAAATGTTTATTCAAATAAGTTAGATATGCACTACTGCTTATTTACTGCAAAACAATTTGAAATGTTAACATTGACAATGACTCAACCATCAATATTAAAAAGGACAGATCAGCAATGTGAAAAAATAACCAGCCACACAAAATCATGTGTTGAAAATAATAATAGTTTAAGGAAAATCATAAGTTGAGTCTCCTCTGCTTGCCTGAATGTGCAAATTAAAAGTATCAGTTGTATTAATTTATTCTAACAGATGTACAAACACATCTTTTAAGCACAGTAATTATAATTCCATAATCTGAGGTCATTGTTATAAAAGCAAAATGTGTTCAGTGTCTTTAAAGTTCAGTGTCTTCCTGACAAATAGTGTATCTCACTAAATGTAGAATCTAAAAAAGTCACAATCATAGCATAAAGTAGAATGGCTGTCGCCAGGGGCTGGGGGAAATGCAGAGACAGGTCAAAGGGTATAAAGTTTCAGCTGTGAAGAATGAATGTTTTGGAGATCTAATATATAGCATGGTGACTATAGTTAGTAATCCTGTACCATGTTACTTGAAATTTGCTAAGAGTACATCTTAAATGTTCTCACCACACACACACACACACACACACAGCCAGCAGATAACTGTGAGGTAATGGATATGTTAATTAGCTTGATTACAGTAATCACTGTATCAAAACATCATCATGTACAACATGAATAGACACAATTTTTGTCTATTATAAAAGCCTGGAAAATGAGAAATATTTCAAAATTATGTCACACCCCCCTCACTCTTTTAGACAAACTCAATACTGTCACTATCTACCAATTTATATGAATTATCTTAGACTGAGAAGGTTGATCCTTTCAAAAAGATATAAATTCTTAAAACATATTCTGTGAAACAATATGAGATTCTTTATCTCACAAAATCAATCTGTCTGAAAAAAAAAAAGTCACTTGTCCATGAACAAGCTTCCTGTGGCAGATTTTTAAATTTATATCAGCTTGGGGGAAAACACTATAAAAAACTGAATTGTACTGACTGTCGTATTTAGGAATATTTGGTACTGCTAAAATGAAAAAGACTTACCCTCTTTAAATAAAACTCTGTCAGCAAAACTACCAAGCTAAAATAATGCAAAATTTTTATTTGTTTGGTAAGTCCCCTTACACAGAGGCTTTGGAGTTAGACACTTGGGAATGCATTCTGACTCTGTTGCTTACTGGTTATGTGATCTTGTGCAAGTTAGGTAATACCTTAGTAGGCTCCATTTCTTTATGTGTAAAGTGGGAATAATTACAATGGTAATTTCATAGGATTATAAAGATAAAATTAGATAATCCAACTGAAATGTACAGAACTCTGCTTTTTATAAAGGAACCACCTGAACGTTAGTTACTGCTATTATGACTGCACTGCTGTTAGTTATTAATGACGACCAGTCGTTTCTAGCAGCGTTCCATTGCTACACAATGGAACCGCTGGTTCCTGAATGGGACTGAGATGTTCAGGTTCATTTTTAAATACCCTAAGCAGATAACCAACTATGAAAGTGATGCTTAACGAACATGTTATGTCACAGAAGGGCAAGGATTAAGGGAGTCCGTCCAATGAAGATCAAAGTGGGTGACCCATTGAAAAAAAAACAAAGAAAATTTAATCAGAATCAGTTCTAGATTGCTAGAATAATCAGCTGTGAAGTTCTGAAATTACTTTCACAAACACAAATCTAAAGTGCATGAACCTTAAAACCTGATGTCTTCAGTTCGCATAACCCCAAATTCTTCTGTGCCTTACTTCTGCAAACTCCATTCTTCCCCTACTAGAAAAAGTGAAGAATAGTAATATATAATAACCATCTGATACCCATACAGATTCCCTGCTGGGTCTATGAGATGGAATAATAAGGCAGAAGAGTTCAAGTACAGTATATATTACAGCTCTCTGAACAGAGAGGTGAAGGCAGCCCCCCTGCCTGTACAGTCCACTGTCCTAATCAAAGGAGGAATGCTACTCAGATTTATTTATGCCCACATGGAGGTCTCTCTGCTGGAGGAACACACAGGGAAAGCGGTCAAAGCATGTGGGGAGCTCAACAGAAGCCATAATAAAATAATGTCAAAGAGCTCTGGAAAGCTGCCTAAGAATCCTTTCTTCATAACTATTAACAGATGTTACTAGTCTGGTCTATCTTTATACATCTCTATAACACATCACAGTGAATCACCACACTCATAAAGCATGCAAGCAAGTTTACCCAAGGGAATTTTATAATTCAATATAAAAAAGTGCCTTTAGATACTGCTGTCATTCTACATTTAAAAGAATTGCAAGGTGTTATTTGAATCTTGAGGCAGTAGAGATGTTACTATATACATCCCTGTAACCACCACTCCAAACTGGATAGAGAATATTTATTTCTATAACCTTAGAAAGATTTCTACTGACTCCATCATCTTGTTTCTGCAACAACCTTTCTCCACACCTCAGGCAGACACTTTCTGACTTCTATCATCATGAATGGTTTTACCTGTTCTTAGACTTCTTGTGCACAGACTCCTATAGTACTACTTTGTATAAAGCTGCTTTTGCTAAACAAGGATTCAAAGATTCATCCATGTTGTTACATTCATTACTATTCATTCATTTTTACTGCTGAATAATATTCTATTGGTTAAATATATCATTTTTTTACTGATGATGAAACATTTGGAATATTTCCAGTTTTTGGATTTTAGGAGTAAAACTGCTTATGAACATTCTTGAGCAAGTGCTTCTGTGAACATAATACCTAGAAAATGAGTGGCTGGATAATGGGGTAGATGTATGAATAGTTTTTAAAACTTCCAGTTTTACACAGTGAACTAGCAGTTTATGAGGATTTTAGCTGATCGACATCCTTAGTCATACCAATGGGTGAAAACAGGGTTGTGTGGTTTTCATTTGCATGCCCATAGTGGCTATTATGTTGAGCACTTTTAGTTCAATGGTTTATTGACCATTACTACATGGTCTTTCACGCACTATCTATTCAACACTTCACCACAATTTTTATTCGGTTGTCTTTTTATTGTTGATTTGGAGTTCTATACATTCTGGAAATGAGTCCTTTCTCAGATGTATGTACTATGAATATATTTTTCTTGGGAGTTGCCTATTAATATTCTTAGTGATGTCTTTGATGAGCATGCTATATATATATATATACACACATATATACAGCATATATATACACACACATATATATACATATACATATATATACACACACACACACACACACACACATATATATTCAGGACTTCTCTGCACTAAAAAATGAGAAGTGCTCAGAAAGGTCATATGAAGTTCTTCAGGGTGTTAGTGTATTAATTTCATATTCCAGAGGCTGCAGGAAATTGTCAGTTTACCATGTGTTCTGTTTACTACACGTCTTCACTGCCAAGAGAGGACTGAGAGAGGCATAAAATGAGAATGCTAATACCCACATAAAAACACACATGGGTTCAAATACTAAATATACAAGTACCTTCGAATCCTTGTAGAGAAAGAGATACCCATCTCGTAAAACAATATACCGGTCTTGAAACTTATTTCCAGACAGTATTTTAGATGGTTCTTCTTTAATTTTCAAGACTCCTTCTTTGATACTTTCCAGGGCCCTCCTCTCTGTAAAGTACATTACTTTTGTAAGTTAGGTACATTTTCATTTATTTGGAGTATAATACAAAACATTCTCTATTTTCAGTTTTGATAATACAAAATAATAACTTGTTTCTTACCATTAAGAAGCCTATGGTTGATTTCAGAGAATACCATGTTTCAGGATATTTATATCTATTTATAATATACAGGCCTGCCTATGCTGTTCAATTGGCTATTGGCTAATGAGCATTGAAATGTGGCTAATCTCAACTGAGATGTGCTATAACTATAAAATATAGGCCATATTTCAAAGACTTAGTACAGAAAAAGGTAAAAATATCATAATTTTGTAATATTGATGACATGATAAAATGATAATTTTAGATAATGTGAGTTTAAATAAACTATATTAGTAAAAATTAATTTCACCTGTTTCATTATATCTTTTAATGTGGCTACTAGATAATTTAAAATTACATAATTGGCTTGCATTGTGTTTCTTCTGAACAGGTCTTGAAAAATCAATGCAAATACACAGTTTAAAATGGAAGCCTCTTCCAGGATTCTGATTCAGGAACCTAAGAATTCTCAGGGCACTAAAGAAAATTCTGTACTTATGAACCAAGTAAGGGGGGGAGGGGGAAGACAGAATTGCTAAGGCAGAACATTTATCAACAACTCTATTTCATGTGTAGTACAGCCAGAGTCCCACATTTAAAAATCATTTCAACTAATTTTATAAAAATACTTTTGGTAAGAATACCAAACTTGTATTTGGATAAACATATCATGTGTAAATTTATTAATACACCTCCAGTCTAAGACTTTCTCCTTGAATTTTAGATGATATTCAACTGCCTACTTGAGAACTGAAGAGCAGTAGGGGGGGAAAAGAAAGAACCTTAAGCCAAACAGCCATGACATGGTCATTAAGCTGTCAACTTCTGCTTTTCCTGGAAAATAAAGAGTAACAACACATATTCTGCAGATTACTGTGGGCCTTGTATTAGAAAAGACCCACAAAAAGATGTAGGCTGGGACACCGTATCAGACTAGGACTGTTAGCAATTTTCTGCTAGTCAGGTGATACAATTTTTAAATAATCATGCGTGGTATCTAAAATTTACAAAATAAGTTGAATAGTTTTAGAAAAAAGAAATCTTAGTGTTAAATCTAACAATTCCTTGGTTTAAAGAAAGCCTGTACTTAAAGAGCAAAGACCACACAGTGGCCCATGACTATAATTAGCATAAGAAAATAGAAGTTAAAATACCAGAAATAGGTCCTTGTAATTATACCCAAATATGAGCATGGCATGAATATCTGGAAGCAGAAATCCCCAAGAGTAATTACATCACTGATTCTGCAAACAAATGTAATTCACAAACCCCAAGAGTTTTCATGATACATTTACTGGCCACATAGAACATTCTCTGAATCATACTATCATAGTAAAACAGGTTCTTTTTTGGTAGTTTGAGACTTTAATTTCTGAACAACACTGATAAATTTTCTCTTTTCATACAATCGCTTAATATTCAATTCCATAGAAAAATATTTCAAATGATAGAACTTTTCCAATTAAAAGATTTGAAAGAAGATCTATTATAATACAACTGGAAGGTCAAGAAAAACAAACATATAAAACAAATATCAGTGAAATTCATATTACATCAAAGCACTTCATTTCTTCAGGAAGTATTAAGGGTCTAGTATGCACTTGGTTCTAGGAATATACAGCCTTGAAGACAAATGAGTTAAATATGGGCTAAGAAATAAAGCTGTGTCTACGAACAGAAGTGAGCAATTCAAAAAACGTTCAGTAGGCTTAGTGATTCAGATGATTTAGAACAGGAAAGTTGAGAATGGTAGTAATATCATTAGTTTAGAAACAGGCAATTCTTCTTAAAGTTTAAACTATAATCAAGATGCAATATATTGATACTATATTTTGCTTAAACCAAAGAAATTCCATTTTACAGTTTTTTTTTTTTTGTTTGTTTTTTGAGGGAGAAAAAAAGAATCTTAATCAGGATCCACACTCAATGTGAAACCCAACATAGGGCTTGATTACATGACTCTAGGACCATGACCTGAGCCGAAATCAAGAGTCATACACGCTCAACTGACTGAGCTACCCAGGTGCCCCTCCATTTATGCATTCTAACTGTACTTTTTCATTTACATTTTTGTCCAAATGAATAATCCTTTCAAATTTTACCAGTAATCATATGTCTACTGCCTAAGCAAACCATTTGTAGGTCAAAGAGAAAACAAGCTTAGGGAAAAAATACTGTTGCCGTGGTTGGGCTCATACTTGTTAAAATTTATCTTAACGTTTACATAATTGAGTATATTAGCTATATCTTGCAGCATACTTTAAGGGACTCAGGAGGAGGGCTTAGAGACAAATAAATGTGAAGAAGGAGGAAAGAGTGAAAAGACCTTTGAAATATGAAGTTTGCAATTATCAAGGACTTTAAAGAATTTTTAAAAGCTCTCACAACTAAATTCTGTCTGCTCTCAAAATGTTAAAACAGAAAAATTACCCACTTATGTAAAGGGCAAAATGAAGCTACATGCTCTAGGGGACACTGTGTGTGACTCAGCACATCATGAAACTAAGGTTATGAACTAAATGGCTTCCAATCCTTCACTTTTCCAAACCTTTCCAGTACTGCTTGGTCCCTCAACTGTGGCATACTTCACTCTCATGTTTTCACTGGCCCCTCTTCACCCCAGGTAGAAAGCTTACCAGGATCCTCTGCTTCAGGGGAGTCTCACTCAGCACAAAGTTCATGCCAGCTATGTCCAACTGTACCTCCTGTTCAGACCCTGTCCAGGTTTGAATTCAACTCTAGTTTGTCAGAAATGTAAGTTTTATTCTTCTGCATGTCTCTTCTGAGCTGGAGTTCAAATTTCTGCTTTTCAGATTTTTGCAGTGGGCTTTCTGCTTCATAATTCTTGAGATTCCGGCCAGTACTCCTGTCTCCCTGCCATGGTTTGGCTTCACAATTCCATGAGATCTTGCTATCTCCATAGTCCTTCACAGAACAGTGATTTTTTAGATGACAGTCATTTTTTTTTTTTTTTTAAGCTCCAAACTTCAGAGCACTAGTATTTCTAATGCCATATAAGCAGTCTTTATGGATACAACCCTTCCTATAGCTATTCAAAACACACTGAATCCTTCTGATCCAATAAAAAACAATGGTTTCATATGTCAAATGATTGATATCCATGATATCAATCTTACCCATGGTGTAAGTTAATAAGCACGGAATACTAAAAAAAAAAAAAAAAAAAAAAGTAAATAGGAAAGAAAAACATAGGACACGCCATGTACATCTGCTTTAAATTGAAAAAAGCTGACTAAAGGAAATGGTTAATGAACTAAAAGATTTGGGAAAATCATCTAATGTATTTGCAAATATAACAAATGTGAAGATTTAATGCACTCCCCTAAGCACTTAATTCCTTCAGAGAAAGATTCTGGGATGTACCCTAATGGTTACAATTTCCTTTACTACCTTTGTCTTTCATTCTAACAAAACTCCAGCATTCTGTTACATCTAGAGAATCATAAATGCCTCTCCCCTTCTTGTTGATTACTAGGACATGGAAGAAACAATTAAGTTAATCAACCGTCTTTCAAATTAACACTGGGGTAAGGGAAAAAAAAGTCAGTATTCTTAGTTGTGCTATAATTTTGTTATTAATTAGAAAGGCCCTTAAAAGTCACACGTATGAAACAAAACAGAATGGCCAAATTTATTTAAACAGACTATCATATTATTGGGACGATGAAACTGATGATAATAAAAAAAGTTTTTCCAAAGCATTTGAAAACCACAAGTTCTTATACAAATGAACAATTCCTAACTAGTGGTCCCTAATCCCAATGAAAGAACTCATCATAGAGGAGGTGGATGGATCCTAGGAAGGAGAAGAAGATGCAGGGGCAGAGAGAGAGCGAGGGAGAAACATAAATCCAGGAATGGTACTTCTAAATTATATACTCCTCCTTTATCCTTCATGTCCAGTCAGCTAGCAAGTCAGCCATTGTTCTTTGAGAATTTCTCTCTAGGGTTCAATTCTATTTTATTCCCAATGCCATCACTCTAACCCCTGCCTTTTCTACCTACTTCCTGGGGATTCCAAGATTTTATAACTCCGTGCCCTTTGTTCTAATGGCTCCAGGAAATAATTCCAGATATGTGTTATGCAAATGCTATTTTAACACATTAATCCCCCCACCCTCCACCTAGTTTAAAACCTTGTTTTTCTACTGTTTAATGCCTTACTTTTCTATCATTAAAAGTCTAAACTCTGAGGCACCTGGGTGGCCCAGTCAGTTAAGCATCGGACTCTTGACTTTGGCTCAGGTCATGATCTCACCATCCTGAGATTAAGACCCATGTCAGGCTTCCTGCTGGGCATGGAGCCTGTTTAAGATTCTCCCTCTTCCCCACACTCTCCCTCTGCCCCTCCCCGGCTCACACAGTACACTCTCAAAAACAAACAAACAAACAAACAAAAATGGCTAACCTTTTCCTGACATTTAAAGGGCTAATCAAACTAAATTTCTCCTACCCATCTCTATAAAATATTAAATAAAAATATGTTTACAATTCAGTTGCTCAAAATATACTGTTTGGAAAACCAATCCTCATCTCTATGGCATGTCTCAAGTTGATCACCTGAAAAAACTTGAGAGAAAATTCCACTCTCTTTGCTTCTATGCAAATTCTATCCCACTTCTGTACCCAGTTCTGTACTTATCCACAAAGATTTTTCTAACTATTCTAGTCCACACTTGTTATTTATATCCCTAAACTCTAAGATAAAATTTAGTTCTCAGATGCATAAATCATATGTGCTTAATAATTTAGCTCTTAGGTACGATAATTTCATATATGCTTTTTAAACAATGTGTGCTTTGGATTTTTCTTCCCAACCTACATGAGAGCTGACACAGCACAGTGGCTAAGGGCACACTGTGAAGCTGGGTTTAAAAAACAACC